GCATCTCCAAAGTTAATGAGAGAGGACTGGGGCAAAAAGTTTTCACTCCTTTGTATCTCTGATTGCAAAGGGTGAGATTGATTGGACTCCATTTGCCTGAGATTGGGGTGCCATTAGTTCAAGTGTTGATAGATAGTACTCACTCCTGAAAAGATCAGGAAAACCGAGGAACTTTAGAAATCACAGTTCCCTTCTATAGATGTGTGTACGTCTGTGTTTGGTGGCTCTAAACACCACATTTAATGCTTGGGAGCTAGGGCCAGCCAAATGTCAATATTCAGTTTGTATTTGCTAGTAAAACAAAGGAAACAACCAGCCATACTTCTAAGCCTATCTTTCTCAGCAATGTGACATCTAGCTTAATCCAGACCCACCCCAGCCTCCCCCAGGTCAGACAGAGCACTGTAAGTTACAAGGAGAGATCTAATACAAGAAGTTCTAGGTTTATGGCCACATCTCCATACTGCTCACCAGAATTTCTACACCAGCCTTCATTCAGGGATTTGGTCAGTAGATTCAGAAATTTGAGTGACTCTGTATCAGATGTCTTCTTTGATGCTGATAATTTCCAACCTGATTTCTGAGACTCCATTTATTATCTTCTATTACTTTCAGAAGTTTGTGGAAATGTTCAAACAATTTTTTTTAATTCATATTTCTAAGCATAACTTACCCTATCAAACTTTTGGGAGGCAGTAGAGGGGGTTCCAGGGAAAAGAAGTAGAATAGGCATTCGAGGACAGTAATTCACTGTCCTCGAATTCACCAAGACTTGCCAACCATGGGCAAGTCTTGGTGCCTCTCAAAATACTAACTCTTGTAAGTCTCGCAAGGTCCCTGTGAGTTAGGCACAATTATCATCCCCATTTTACAGGTGGCAAAACTAAGATACAGAGAGATTAAGTAACTCAGTCATGCTGCTAGAAAATAGAGCTGGACTCAAGACAATGTGGTGCCAGTACCTGTGTTATTAACCATGGTGCTCTCTTGTCCCTTGTACGATAGTGTGCTGGGGAGTTGTCATGGAGGTCCCAAAGGATTCCCCAATGGCAAATCAGTAATGAGAAAAATGCACAGAATGTGCTGTTTGTTCTCAGGATGTAGTCTTAAGTCCATTCCCTCTGTCATTTATGAAGACAAGGATTGTGCTCTTGATACCGAGCAGTGAGTACAGGAGCAAGCTAACCTTTGAAGGCTCTCATAGTATCTTCACAAAATAAACAGGGAAGCAGAGGAGTTCAAATTGATGGATCTGATGAACTAGGTAGATTTTCTCCCAGCAAGAAATTGTTCCTCATAAAATGAAATATCTTTCAGGAATGCAGGTTACTGCAGACTAAATCTCAACCTCACCCCTCACCACTTCCAGTCTGCACATCCCATCTCCCCTCGCAAACACGCACGCACGCTAGCCGGGCAGGAAGGAGACTGGGCCAACAGAAGGGGGCAACACCAACAGGAAGGATGCACTGGGGGAAAGAGAGATATCCGGGAGGTAAGTCTAAGTCAGAATTCCTCATGGAGAGCTAGCAGCCAAACATTGGGGAAGATCAAATACAAGGAGTACATCCAGAGTGACCTGTGGTGGGACCAGAATCTAGCATGTTGCAGAGGGCTCGAAGCGGGAATGAGGTGCAAGAAGAAAAGAAGAAAGTGACTCAGGAGCAGCCCTAAGGCATCAGTGCCTCAAATCAGCAGCACACGCGGCAGGCTTAAAAGATTAGACATTCACTCTCTTTTCAATAAATGCCTTTTAAGACCTTACTTTGAAACAATTTTAGACCCACCTGAAAGTTGCAGAAAGAGAACAGAGGGCTCCCATGTAATTTTGGTCCACTTTCCCCCATGACAACATCTTAGATAAGTATGATGATCAATACCAGGAAACTGACATTGGCACAAGCTAAGCTGAAGAACCTATGTGCATGTTATCAGAACAAATATTATTTGGAGCATTATTTCTGCGCCTGACACACACCATGCGAGGGGTTGAGTGGCAGCCATGGCCTTATAGAGTTTTCAGTTTATTGACAAATGCTTGCAGGCCAGCCACATACAGCTTAACTATACAATTCTGCGGCGAGTGTCTGGAAATCCTATTACCTCACTGAATTGCCATGACACAGGAAAAGTACTGATCACATATCTCTGAGCACCTTTCATTTCACTTATGCACACAAAGACTGAATCTCAGTTCTTTGTCTCTCTAAGTTACAATAGTAAAGGATTCCCGGGGAGGTTTTTAGTGGAGGGCAAGTAGAAGAAAAAATTGTGGGGAGTTGGGGGTTTTTCTTCCTGACTTCAAAGGGCACAATTGGATCTTTGAACACTGTGAACTTTGGAAATACTATTTACAGATCACCAGAGTGTTTCTGTGTACGTTGACAATTTAAATAGGATCCCTGAAAAAATGAAATTTTAGCTATTCTCTTATCAGTAATTACAAATACTTTTTATTTTTGATATTAAAAAGCAGTCACTATTAGAAACAGAGCTCATTCCTGCATTATTCAGTTTTGTCCCATTCTGAGAAAGTTAAAATGTATACTGCTATGTACACAAAGTCAGGATTTTGACAGTAATATATAACCAGATTCTTGGTAGAAAGAAGCGATGATTTTTTTTTTTAAGAATTGGTTTTAGGGTATCATTATGTAATACTCAGTTTTTTTTTTCTAGAAGTCATTTCAAATTATATATAAGAGCTTTAAAAGAATTGTGTAAAATGATTATAGCTAGTCCTGGAGAGTGAAAGTCAGTCTCTCTGTGTGTGTCCACTTTAAGTCCCATTATTTAGAAGTAGATGCAGTAATGCTAAGTAAATACATATTTACTAACCATCCACGCCTCTATCCACACAGAGGCACCAGCTATGGAGATAACAAAAGGAACAGCAGGAAAACTCCCATTCCTCAGCTTGTGCTGCAAAGCTCCTTCTATTTGCTTATTTGAGAAGGGGGAAAAGATCATTTTAAAGTTAAATTGCCTAGTGAACCCATCTATCATTTGCAAAAAAGTAATGAGCTGGAGCCGGAAGCCTAAGTCTGCTTCCTTCCCCTTTCTCATGGCCAAGATGTAAGACATAAAAAGCAATTTTTCTTGATGTGTGATCAAACGATGGATTAAGACTTGCAAGGAGTCGGTGATCAATTGTCTGATAATATGTGACAGATCTTGTCAGACTGACAAAAATGTACCCCAACCCAAAGGGAGAGGAGGCTCTGAGCTGTGAAGGTGCTTTCTTAAGCAATTGCCTGAGAAGTACAGGCTGCTGTGATATCAATTATCTTCTGTATCAACACCAAACAGGATTTCTGCTGTGAAAGCTACCATCATGGTTTGATGTGTGTAAGTTAATAACTAATTAGATGCATTTCAGTAATCACTTAACTTTAATTGGTTTTGTATCTTATTTTTCAAAGGAGGAAGGTATAGACTTGTCCTAATATTTTACCGTAATAATGTTCCACAACACATGAAATGAATTCCCCTCGTCTCTCCCCCACATTCTGACAGGCCAATAAAAATAGTATTAGGTGAGTAAATACAGAACATTTTTCAAAGAATCAGACATAGTGATAAACAGCAATGAAGTCAAGCAACTAGCAGGCTCCTTGGTGAATCTGCCACCTGAAAGCTTTCTCTGGTGTCCAGGGAAAGCATCCAGCCTTCTCTGAGCCGGCAGGATCCACTCTTAGCGTTAGCCCCTTTTCAGGGCAGAGGATGGAAAGGGAACAGTGAAGAGACGCATGGTTTATACCTCTCCCAGCCATTTCAAACTGGCATGTGAATACTCCTTCATCTCTGATTGGCTCCAGTTTAAGGAAACAAGAGAAAAAAAATACATTTCAAAATCACCTGTACTTATTTGGGAGCTCAGGAAAAGTATAAATCAGGATTAGATTTTTTTCTACTGAGCCCCAAGCTTGGGAAGAAAAGCTTTGTTTTTACATAGAACCAGAGAAAGAACTGGAATAGGTTTTAATTTCTTCCCTAATGCAAAGGCAAGGAATTCTACTACTCAGCATTTTCTTGGGTTTTGCTGTAAAGGAGGACACTGTGTTGAAATAATTTTTCCTGTATAAACAAGCTGTGTCCCCATCTGGGAGACATTTACATTTGATACTTTAGATGCAACCCCAGGGAAGCTAAGGCTGAGCCTTAATATGTGTTCAGAGAGAAGATATAGGGTAGACGGTTACAGGGTATGGTCAAAGGGGAGGTAAGTGCTGAAAACTCACCTCTGCTGGTCACGGGAAGCTATATTCTGAAATAGATACATTGCATGGCATCTGAAAAATCTTGTATTCATACATTCATCCATTCCTACTGTGTGTGTGTTCTTACTATGTGCCAGAGCCATCCTAGGCCCTGAAGATTCAGGGATGGCCAAGGCAGACTCTTGCCTTCATGCAACTTGAAGACTAGAGAATATCTAGGCCAGAGATTTCAGTGTTTGTCAAACTGAATCCCACGGAGCTAAGTGGAGTTTTTTAAATGGGTGGAATAATGAAAGTTAAGCAGAAATGCTCCAGCCCATGTCCATCACCCACCCTCGATTTCATTCAAACAACTTCCACTTTGGTCTTTTTTCTATATTGGGGTTTCCTATCAGATTCCCTTTAAAAAAAAAAGGTATTCTTTAAAAGGAAAGCAAGGGACAATCATAATAAAAGCTGGTCATGGGGATGGAAATGCAGCATGGAGAATATAGCCAATGGTTCTGTAACATCTTTCTATGTTGACAAATAATATCTACATTAGTTGGAATAAGGATTTAATAATGGGTGTAATTGCTGAACCACTGTGTTGCATATGCGAAACCAATATAATATAGTGTATCAACTATACTTCAATAAAAATACATGAATAAGTAAATAAATACTTAGTCATCACAGAGGGGGTGAACTTCTGCCCCACACATACCACAGTGGACAGAGAATGGGCACTAGAGTCTGAAGACTCCAGGGTCTTTCTGACCACCTCAGGTATTCCTTATCAGTAAATGGTGCATGGGGGGAGAGAAAGAGAACCACAATCCAACTCTTTATTTTATGTAAAGAAAATTAAATTATTGAGCCTGAGAGGCATTCCATGACATATTTGGTGACAGTCTGGAGAGTCCAGCCGGTCTGCTGTCAGGTTGTCATAACAGGTCACCCAGAGGGTCAGCTGCTGCCTCCCCCCTGCCGTGCACTGCTCAGGATGGCAGGAACATTTTTCCACCTGTGGAGACACAAAGGCTGGTGGCAGGTGCTGTGTGGCACAGAACTGCGAACAGGATGCCAAGCCATACCCTTACCGTGCTTACCAGATGGAGCTCAGGACAGCTTGCCAGCTGATTTGTGTGTTTCACCTTAGGTTTTGGGGATGTAGGAGGGCATCTTGCCCCTGAGCATAAGAAATGTTTGGGAGCTCTTGCGTTCACTCTCATAGCAATTGCTGGCATTCTGAAGGGAGTAAACTCTTATGACCATGAAAGGCTGTTAGTTTTCCCCAGTGTATCCAAATTTTTCTTGAAGCAGGATTTGAAACTTCTAGGATTCTGATGATGATCAGGGCCAACATTAGAGTAGCCAAAATTATGGCAAAAAGCTGAGTCACCAGACCTGGAAGGAAAGGTCAAGATCTAAGATGAGGAGAACAGGTGAATCAATGGGTATAAATTTTCAGTTATGCAAAATTAGTAAGTTCTAGAGCTCTTCTGTACGACATTGTCCCTACAGATAACCATACTACCTTATATACTTTTTAAAAATCTGTAAAGATGGTAGATCTCAGGCTAAATGGTCTTACCAAAATAAAAACCTTCAGAAGCATGTAAGGTCATTTTCTGTTCCCTCTATCATGGAGGGTGGGCATGAGATGGTTTATGACCGAGAACTTTAGAGCCAGAGAGTGGCAAGACCTTCAGCATTCTCTGCAGGCAACTGTGAGCATCTACGTCAGCTGAGGCAGCTGGGCCACTGCCCATTGTCTTTGGCAGGTTGGCTGCCAAGGTCCAGCCCCTTTTGTCCATTCCTAGTGTTAACCATCCTTGTCTTCTCAAACTTGGGAATATGACCCCCATTCTTAGGTCTACTCTGGAGTCAAAAAGCATAATGTCAAGGACAAAAATAAGATACTACTTTAGTGGGAACTTGGAGGAAAGAAGAGGAGGAGCCTGAAATACTGTGAAGCAAGGACAAAATTAAACTAAGTACAAGAGGCCCTTTGCACAGGGCCTAAGAGGTTGTAACCATTCAATAAACATTTGTTGAATGAGTGAGTGAATGAATTCTGACCACGAGATGTCAGTCTGTATCAAAGTATGATTGGAAATGACTGATCTTCAAGCCCTATATCTCAGCAAGGTAGAACATTTCCTTGATGAAGGTAATGATGCAAATATATGTCTAGTGTCAGATGTATGGGCACAGAGGTAGAGAAATCTGAGAAAGGTAGGAATGTAGTTCATATGGAATCCCCTCAACTACCACCTCTTCCCCTCCTGGGTCTATTACATCATGGGCACCAGGGTCTGGTGGAAAGGAACATTTGGAGAGCTTTCTAAATAAGAAATCATAGAAAAGGATGAATGCTGAGAAGCTGTCTGACTGAAAGAAAGAGACTTTTGCCACAATTTCAATACAAATAGCTGTGGAAAAGATAGAGAATTTGGTGTTGATCATTTGCCATCTTCCCAAGACAGAGTTCAAACAGGTTTGATTTATACTTATAAGAACATACCCTACATGCAACCTTGAAATAGGCAAGATCAAATAAGATTATGAGTTTGACAGAAAAGAGGGTCTGATTTGCATTTAATTACTCTACTGAGAGCTACTGTGGGGATTCACTCAGGGTCAGAGGCAAGCTTGTGCCCTGCCTTCTGCGAGACCATAGCTGAAGTGGAAAAGAGAAGGAATTGGTAATTGCCTTTCATTTGGTGAGAAAAGCAGATTTTGGTGTTTGAGAAATAAGGATGAAGAACTGTTACATCCAGATACCAATATTCTCTGCAAGAATTAGTGGGCTAGAAGGTTCACAGACTCTTTGCCTTTGAAATAAGCAGTTTCTACTTCTGCAATAGGAAGTGACCTAGTTGGAGACTTCCAGAGAAAGCTCATGGGGGCTCCACCCAGGTTCAATATAAGACACATTCCTAGGGGACCTCTAGCCAGTTGAGCTAACTTTGTTCTTCAAATAAGGAAACATAGACTTGAGTGACAAATGAACACATTCAAAATTAGTGGCATAACCATGGTATGAACATGTAACTCATGATGCTCATTCCTTGGGTCCTTTTTCTTCATGGGATTACCTCCATAAAATTCAAGAAATATTTTTCATCGTACATATGCTAACCCTGATTTGAGCACTGTGGAATACCAAGAGACATATGATATTAACCTGCTCACAGGGAAGATGTTTGAACCTCATTAGGAAGAAAAGACACATGACGATTTTAGAACTAGAGAACCTTGCAGTCTGATTCATGTGCCATGATTAATGTCAGCGCTAGTCTCACTATACAGTAACTAATATTTGATTTTTGTAATAGCTATGTAAGCCAAAGAGCCCAATTTCAATAGAAATTGAAGCTTAGGTTAAACAACTTGTTCATGGTCAAAGAGCTAGTATGTTGCAGAAATGGAATTTGAAAGTTGGGGCTTCTCATTTAAAACCAAGGTCTTTCCTGCTATATTTTGCTACCTCTCAATGTTATAAAACACTTGGTTTCTTATTAAGAGGCACAAGAGACATGAAACCTTGTCATCTCTAGGATCTAGCTGTTATGAAATTGATAAGATGAAATAATTATTTTTTAAGCATTCAAAATCAGTAAAACCACCATTTAAGAAGTGAAACATCTCAGAAAAAATTGTTGGTTTCACTGACTTGGTGTTCTTTGACAGGTATCAAAATACCATGGAGATGGAGCCTCAGTCTCTTTGCTGAATTTCTGCAGAATCAGAATATTCTGAGAACTGTTTGTTAGTCAGTATTAAACCACAACATCATTGCAGAACTCATGGAAAATGAGTCGTGAATAGTGAATGTCCATTAACAGGGATGTTTTTTAGGTTCCAGATGTGTTCTGTAAAACAGTGAGGGGTCACTGTAAAAAAGGAGAGAGGAAGCTCTACAAAAATGGGCAGAACCCATAAACAAAGACAATAATAAAGGAAAAAAGTACATTAAATACAGCTCTGCAACTCTAAAGCTGCAATAGTAAAAGCCAGCCAGGCACAATTATCTACAATGAATAGCTTGAGCTAAAATCTAACCCCATGTATCTAGAAATACTGTAGTCAGACAAAGAAATTTATAGAAATACATTCTTTTTTAATTGAGGTATAATTGATATACAGCATTATATTAGATTCAGGTGTATAAGATAATGATTTGATACTTGTATATATTGCAAAATGATCATCACACAGTAAGTCTAGTTAACATCTGTCACCACATGATAGTTACAGAATTTTTGGGTGTGAAGAGAACTTTTAAAATTTACTCTCTTAGCAACTTTCAAATATACAATAGAGTATTATGAACTATAGTCACCATGCTGTACATTATATCACCATAACTTATTTATTTTATAACTGGAAGTTTGTACCTTTTGACCCCTTTCACCCACTTTGCCCACCTCTCACCCCCACTTCTGGCAACCACCAATCTGTTCTCTGTATCTATGAGCTTGGTTTATTTTATTATTATTATATTTTATTATTTTTCTTTAGATTCCACATATAAGTGAGATCACACAGTATTTGTCTTTCTCTGACTTATTTCACTGAGCATACTACCTTCCAGGTCCACCCATGTTGCAAATATCAGGATTTCATTCTTTTTATCACTGAATAATATTCCATTGTGTGTATATGCCTCATTTTCTTTATCCATTCATCCACTGTTGAAAACAGGTTGTTTCCATATCTTAGCTATTATAAATAACGCTGCACTGATATGGAGGTGCATATATCTTTCATCCAGATTGCTTGTTTGTTTGCTATTAAATTATATGAGTTCCTGATATATTTTGGATATTAACCCCTTATCAGATATATGATTTGCAAATATTTTCTCCCATTCAGTAGGTTGCCTTTTCATTTTGTTGATGGTTTTCTTTGCTGTGTAAAAGCTTTTAAGTTTGATGTAGTCTCACTTGTTTATTTTTGCTTCTGTCATCTTTGTTTTGGGTGTCAATGAAAAAAATCATCACTGAGACCAATATCAAGGAGCAGTGTTTTCTTCTAGGAGTTTAATGGTTTCAGGTTTTTACATTGAAATCTTTAATCCATTTTGAGTTAATTTTTGTGTATGGTATTAGATAGTGGTCCAGTTTCATTCTTTTGTGTGTGGTTGTCCAGTTTTCCCAACACCATTTATTGAAAAGACTCTCCTTTTCCCATTGTATATTCTTGGTTCCTTTGTCATAAATTAATTGACTATAGGACTACATTGTTATTTTAAATAATATTATGTGATTTTACATTTTAAAATTAGGGTTAAAAATGTCTAAAAGAAGTGGAAATATCATGGTAGAAAGGATAGTTTCATATACAAATATAATCCTTAATAACTTAGAAATTCATTACTTTTTAACTGGTTTTCCAAAATTACCCAAGAGATTTTCTTAGTCAGAACAAAACACATGGTTAAATCATAACATCTACCCACCAATTTATTATTGCTTTTGTTTGTGAGTGGTTGGAATATTTTTGGCCTCATGAAAAGCCAAAACTAATTGAACAAGCTCTCCAAAAATACTACACTGGAGCTGAAACCAAGCATGGAAAATGTTGCCTTGTAGAATGTGATTATGAATCACTAAAAGTGATACTAGAAATCCACATGAAATATTCACTCTAGCAACAAATGGGAGATATGAAATGCATGAGCTGGAAGAGCATAAATAGTGTCACAATTATCTGAGAGTCAGGCAACATCAAAGATAAAAGAAACAAGGGTAGAAATTGCTGCAGCTTCTGATTCATGGCACAATATGAAATGATATCCTCATAGTTACAGAATCCAAGAACCGTTATTTGTATATTCTGGGGCTTACCAATTGGAGCACCTGAGCTGCACTGGATTTTACCCTCAGACTAGATTCCAGCTCCAACTTGCATTTTCACAGCAATAGTAACCCAAACAGGACATCTGGGTGCACTCCTTTTGACATGGGCCATGTCATTACCAACATTTTAAAGTGACTAGGTTAAAATAGTTATGTCTACAATAGGTATCCTTGACCACCATTTCATTCCTCAGCTCATCTATGAGATGACTCTCCAGACTTTTTTTAACACCTTCTTAGTAAACATGTTGGGAAGACACCTACTAAAAATTTTCATTTATTTATTCAGTAATATAAAACTCTGGAGTTAAAAACCAAGTTTTTAAGCTTTGTCAAAATATTCTCAAGTCAAAAAGGTGGACTCAAACTGTCTGGGTCAAAAAGTTATAAGCTTTCTAGGAGTATAAAAGTCAAATGTTATTTGATAAAATATATATAAAATCTGTATGAGGGAAGCTACAACTTTGATGAAAGATATCAAAGATGAGGTAAATAAATGGAGAGATATTTCACATTCATGGATAAGAAGACTCAATATCATCAAGATGTCAGTTCTTCTCAACTTCATCTACAAATTCAATGCATTATGCAATTCCAGTCAAAAGCCCAGCAAGTTATTTTGTGGATATTGAGAAACTAATTCAGAAATTTAAATGGAAAAGTAAAAGACCCAGAATAGCTAATTCATTATTGAATGACAAGAACAAAGTTGGAGGATTTACATACACTACTTGACATTGAGACTTACTATAAACTACAGCAATCAAGGCAGTGTGGAATTAGCAAAAGAATAGATAGATCAATGGAACAGAATGGAGAGCCTGGAATTAGACTCATATGAATACAGTTAACTAATCTTTGACAAAAGAACAAAGGCAACACAATGGAGTAAAGATAGTCTTTTCTACAAATGTTGTTAAGACAACTGGACATTCACATTCAAAAAAATGAGTCTAGACACAGACTTTACACCCTTCACAAAAAAATAACTCAAAATGGATCACAGACCTAAATGTAAAACACGAAACTATAAAGCTCCTAGAAGCTAACATAGGAGAAAACCTCACTGGCTTTGAGTAGAGGGATAACTTTTTAAGTACCCCAACAAAGGCATGATCTGTGAAAGAAATAATTGATAAACTGGACTACTTAAAATGTAAAACTTCGACTCTGTGAAAGACAATGCCAAGAGAATGAGAAGATAAGCCGTAGACTGGGAGAAAATATTTGCAAAAACACATCTGATAAAGGACTGCTATGTAACATATACAGAGAACTTTTAAAATCCAATAAGAAAATGAGCAGCCCAATTTTACAAAGGGGTGAAAAACCTAAAAGGTAGTTTATCAAAAAAGATATACAGATGGCAAGTAAACATATGAAAAGATGTTCAATATTTATTTGTCATAAGGGAAATGCAAATTAAAACAACAATATGACATACCACTACACACCTGTTAGAATGTCACAATCTAAAATTCTAACAACACCAAGTGCTAATGAGGATATGGAGCAACAAGAATGCTCACTTATTGCTGGTGGAAATACAAAATGGTTCAGCCACTTTGGAGGACAGTTCAGAGTTTTCTTTCAAAACCAAACATACTCTTATCATATGATTCAGCCGTCACACTCCTTGGTATTTACTCAAATGAAATGAAAATTTATATCCATACAAAAAACATGCACAAGGATGTACATAACAGCTTATTCATAACTACCAAGACTTGTAAGTCACCAAGATTTCCTTTAGTTGGTGAATGGATTCATAAACTGTGATATATCTAGACAATGAAAGGCTCAAAATAAATGAGCTATCAAACCATGAAAAACAGGGAGGAAACTTACATGCATATTAGTAAGTGAAAGAAGCTAATCAGAAAAGGCTACATACTATACAATTCCAACTAAATGACATTCTTAAAGAGACAAAACTATAGAAACATGAAAGGAGCAGCGATTGCCAAGGACCAGGGAGAAGGAGGAATGAATGGACAGAGCACAGTTTTTAGAGCAGTGAAATTATTCTGTATGATAGTACAATGGTGGATACGTGTTTTTATTATTTTTTCAAAACCCACAGAGCATGCAACAAGAGTGAACCCTAATGCAAACTATAGATTTCAGGTGATAACAAGGTGTCAGTGTTAGTTCATCGACTGTGACATATGTACCACTGTGGTACAGCATATCAATAGTGGGGAAGGTTGTTGTGTGTGGGGACAGGGAGTATATGGGAACCAGCTGTACTTACCACTCAATTTTGTTGTGAACCTAAAAGTGCTCTGAAAATATTGTTTATTAATTTTAAAAAAGGCCAAATGCTTGCATGTCTTGGGGGAGGAGAAGGAAGTGGTAGTATTTGGTAGGATTGCCACAGGAGAAAAGAGGGAGCCCATTCAACCAGAACTCTGCTTTTTATACAACTAACAAAGGAAATGAGACACAAAATGTCTATTCACAGCACAGGAACTTGACTTGTATTTTTCATTATTGGGACATACATATATATTAAAAAGGTGTATATAATATATATACAACTTAAAGTTCTTAAAGCTTGGGCTAGAGTTCCCTGAGACCCTTTCAGGGGTCCAAAACCACTTTCATAACAATACTGAGACATTTTTTGCCTTTTTCACTGTGCTGACATTTGTGCCCATGACACGAAAAAAAATGGTGGGCCTGAACCGAAGCAGTGGCACCAAACGGTATTTGTAGTCACTATATTCTCCATCAATACACACGTTCAGATAGAGGAATGCCAGCTTCGCTTAAGAATGTCCTTGATAACGCTGTAAAAATTATTAACTTTACTAAATCTTGACTTAGGAACACATAATGAGATGGGACACAGGCACAAGCAGTTCTGCTACCCAGGGGAAGTATGACGGTTGTCTTGAGGGGAAGCACTGTGTAGCTGTTTGTGTTGTGAGCTGAACTAGCTGCTTTGCTCAAATAGCATGATTTGTACTGGAAAGAACGACTGACAGACAACTATGATTATTTAGGCATGGGCATCTGGCAGACAGACGTTTTCTTAAGCAGGAACGAAGTGAGCCTGTCACTTCAAGAAAAACAACTGACAGTATTGGTTGCAAATTGCAGAACCTGAGCTTTCAAGCAAATAATTAGAATTTTGGAAAACCTGTATTCAACATTATGAGCTTGACGGTTCCCAATATTTAAAGACTTTTTTTATGACATTGGTGGTTATTGATAAATGTGATTTTTTTTTTTATGTAGAATGAAATGTGGCAACGTTTAGATCTGCATAACTCAGTGAACCATTAGTTTCCAAATGACCAATGCATGATGTCATAAAATAGTTCATGGGTAAAAGATCCATTCAAAGTGCAAGACAACCAATGGATTTCACTGTAACATTGTATTAAAAGTTCAATGATATAGTTTCAGATACTAAACTACAACTAACCTTTTAGAAATTACCACTTGTCAAGTTTGGATGTAGTATCAAAGAATATACACAGTTAAATTTTTTTAAAAAGCTACTAAAATACTCATCCATTTTCTAACTGCACCAAATTGCTTCATATTCTTCAAATTGTATAATTCGATAGACTCACTAGAAAGACAGAGCAGATATAAGACTCTAGCTGTCTTTTATTTAGCCAGCCATTAAAGAGATTTGGAAAAATGAAAAGTGATTTCACTTTCCTCAGTTTTGTTTTGCTTTGTTTGGTGTTTGTTATGGAAAATAGCTATTTTCATAAAAATCAATTATTTATGTGACCAGGTAATGAGCTTATTACTATAATTTTCAAATAAACACAAATAGCTCAGTTTTCATTTTGAATACAGTAAATATCATTAGCTAAAACTCACATTAACATAAGTCCTTTGGAATCTGCAATCATTTTTAAGGGTATACTGGATTCCTGAGACTAAAAAGTTGAGAACCAAAAATTTAAAAAGGTAATGAAACAGGTGTATGTACCTAATACACAAATTAAAGAATAAAACATGACCAGCACCTTTGAAACCACTGTATGTCCTACCCAGAATATAGCTCTTTCTCTTCTCCCAGGGGTGAGCATATTACACTAATCGTATATTAACCATTCCCTTGGTTTTCTTCATAGTTTATCTCACATGCATATCTCCCTATATGATACTTAATATTACCTGTTTTTGAACTGCACACAAATGGAACCACACTGTCACAGTTTGCGTTTCCTTGAAAGCAATGCCTGAGAGAAGGACTTGGGTGCAGGTAGTCTATTTTGGAACTGAACCTGGGAAGCAAAAGTGTAGAGGGTAGAGAGAAGGGAGAAAGCAAATAAAAGCACATTATGGAGCAGATTATTGCTGTGGGCAGCTGAGGCACAGCCCTATTGTGTGCCCTCTGTGAAAATGTGTAAAACTATTCAAAATTGGTCCACCAGACCAAAGGGAAAGAGATGGGGCATTAGTCAGTGACTTTATCTCCATTTGCCTAATAAGGGTTGCTGTGAGGGGCTTAACTCCCTTGCGTGAGCTGAGTGGTTTCCTGTGATTCTGAGAGAAGCCTGAGGCAGAAAAGCCGAGGCCCCTCATTGCAACCTGTTGATGGCCCACTGGCCACCGCTGGAGCCCAGCACAGCTGTCTACAGTCAGGAGAGCTAAAGGGACAGCGGGAGGGCACCGTGTCAGCCACACTGTGTACGTTCTTTATGACCTTCCTTGCCTCCAGAGTCTGTTATTGAGATATTTGGGGTTGATATGAGTAGTTTTAGCTCATTTATTTCCATTGGTGCATAGTACCCATCATCTGACTCTTCTACAACTTAATTTTCCCTCTATTGTTGGACATTTGATGTATTTCTCGACATGGGGACGTTTGCTGGTGCTACTTCAGGAAAACAAACATACACAAACATTTCCATGTCCTTACATTCCAGCGAAAAATTTCATAGGCAGCAGCAGAACTGAGGTCTCCACTTCACTTCCGTATTCCAAATCTTGCCTGGATCAGATTGGCCAATGTGAAGTCACATTCTGGCTGCAATGGATTCTGGGAAGTGCAGGTTTTTGCCTTCTGGCTTCTGCAGTACAGGAAGGTACACGAAGGAGCACCACACCTCACACACTGGGCAACTGGGCAACAGCTATTAAAACAAAAAAAACCCATTGATCCTGTGATTTTACTCTGGTAATCTATTCCATAGAAATACAAGTACTAATATAGAAGGGCATATGTGCAATGACATTTATTGCAGAGCTGTTTGTAGTGGACTGAAAGTGAATGTTCTTTAAGAAAGGAATGTTTAAATATAGCAAATATAGCCTTGTATTGGAATATTACATAGCAAAAGAATGAATTAGAGAAATACCAGATGACTCAGAGTGATTCCACAATGCATTATTAAGTAAAGCAAGATACAAGAAGGACATGCATATTGCATAATCTATTTGGGGGGGGGGGTAAACGATGACCAACAAAAGGTGTGTGTGTGTGTGTGTGTGTGTTTGTGTATTTACATAAATATAGAACTATATAGAAGGCCACCCACTAGGATGTTAACAGGGATTCATACGGTAAAGTAGCATAAAGCTAATGTGGGGCAAAGAAGAGTAGGGAAAAAATAGCACATATAAAAAAAGTTCCCCTCAATGTGATTATTTTAGGAGGTTCGATTTTAAGAAAACTTTATTTTTATATTTGTATTTGTTTTAACTATTAATTTATACATAAATCTATACATTTATATGTTGTATTTATTCATATTTGTATAAACTATTGAAATTATTTCCATTGAAGGTATATTATTTACATAATCAATATAAAACAATGAACCCATTTTAATATGGAAAGTAGGAAATTTATTCTTATCCTTTAGGTGAGAAGCAATATTGTAAAAGCAATATTGAATATATGTTCAGTGCTATGTCTTCATATATTTTTTTCTGCACTAAGCTGTAAATAAAAACATTGTACATCTCAGAGTTCTAAGCATCTCCACAGATTTGAAAGAGTACATCTTTTGTTTAACATTCTCAATTATATTATTTCTCCTAATAATTTATGAATGCCTGGTTTTCATATGGAAATTGTAAGAAGGAAAACAGGGTCAAGCACATTAGGATTCTCATTCAAATAAATTCACAGTTTTAGTGGAGAGGGATTTCATCAGCAGCCATAAAAATTGTTATGAAGAAAAAAGGACAAATGCGCAGTTGAAGCAGGTGGGTTTGCCACTAAGCAGATGGACTTTTATTCCCTCCTTTGCATCCAAATCTTGCCTGGATCAGAAAACAGATCTCAAAAACAGAATGCGGCATGAACTCCACTGGTCAGGACTTGGTTCTTGCACCTCCTAGCTGAAATGTCAATGGCGGCTTCGGAACTGGGGGCCCGCGTCCTCTCCTCACGGAGACACCTGCCCAGGAGCCGGGGGCCCGCGAGGGATTCGCGCCGGTAAAGCTGGCGCTGGCGGCACCGGAGGGGCGCGGGGAGGACCGAGAGTCCCCCAGCCGCCCGCCCCGGAGCCGCCCGGCGCCCCGCCCGACTATCGCGCTGGACCCTGAATTCATTTTAATATGAAAACATCCCTTCTTTCTAATAGAACGGGGATAGAGGATGGTAGAGAGGACTATTGTTTTACATCATCCACTACTGTACTATTAGATTGATACTATATCTAGATCGATAGACATTATACATATGTATATTATATCTGTAACTTTGATAAGTATTTTTTTAAGTTAGTCCTTGTTTGAGCTAACCTTGATTCTTGCACCTATGCTCTGGAGCTCACCCGGTTCTACCTCCTCACTCCATTAATTAAACTTCTTTCCTATAGAATCAACCATCCTTTGCTGCTGACTTCTTGTCTGGAGGTCAGAAGCATGCTCACTATCTCCTATTTTAGATCTTCCCTTTATGTTATGGCCTCTTCTAACTACTGCCTGGTCTCATACTTTGCTTTGTTGCCATGGGAAAGCAACTTGAGTTATTTGGCTCCCTGTCTCATGTCTCATTTGCTCCCCATCACCTGCATTTTAGCTTTTACCCTGACAAATGCTTCCACAGAACTCGCCCCACCAGGGTCACTTGTGCAATTCTAATTGCCACCCCTGGTCATCCTGGTGTCTCAGGAGCACTCAACCCTCTAAACAAACATTTTCTTAAAGCTTTTCCATCCATTTGCTTGCAGAACACTCTTCTCCCCAGTTCCCTTCCTGATTGTTTTGTATGAAATTTTTCTGGGCCTTTTGCTAGCCCCTCATTTGCCTTCCTTCAAAATGTCAATGTCTCTCAGGGTCCTATCTCCCTTCCTTCTCACTTCATTCATTGTCCTTGGAGATGACATGCTCATGGCTTTGGCAGGGATGACTCAAATCTGTGCTTATGGGATGGGTATCTCCCTAGAGTTCCTGACCCACGTGTCAAACAGCCTCTTGGAAACCTAGATCTCTCACTTACTCACCAAACTATATATATGAAGGGAAGAATGTACTGTTTTCTCTTCAAAATATGCCCACATCAGTTTCCCATCTTTTCGAATGATATCACCATTCAACTGTCCACCAGCCCACAAGAGGGAAGTTGAACTTATGAAGTCTTCATAATCTTGAGTCTCATCATATCTAATAACCAGGCTCATTTGACTCTACCTCCTAAATACCTCTCAAACCTTTCCAATTGCTCCCTGGCATCCACCTCTGCCTTACTTCAGCATATTGCTGCTCCTTTGAACTCTTACAGTCTCTTATCTTTAGTGGTGTTACCTTCAAGCCATCTTTCTGTTGCCAGCAGTGTAAACTTTCTTAAATGTAAAACTGAATAGATCACCCCATGCTTAAAATTCTTGAATAACTTCCCATAGCGTGCATGTCCAAGTTTAAACTACTTAGAATGACATGTAGGACCTGCCCCACATACCTCACTGCAATCATACTGAATTATTTACATTTCTGAAATTTAACTCCAAAACCAAACTACGTCTTCAGAAAAGCATCCTTTACCATGCACATACTTCTCTGACACAGTGTAGTGCTTGCATAATTCCACTTTCCCATCTGCTCTCTCATTAGACTGTAAGTGCCCCCAGGGGCTGTATTCTACTCCCAGGGGTAGCACTTGCTGGGTATTTGCTACAAATTGATCGAACATTGCATGATATCATATTTGCATGGTCACATATTGAGTATCAATAGGAGAAAGTGATTTTTGCTGGTCACACAACAAGAAATAAGGCTGCATCAAGTAAAACCCCATTCTGGCCTGGAATCTGTGTTGCGTGCTCTTCTCAGCACGTTCCAAGTCCTTCCATGTTAGTTATATAAACCTAAGCAAGAAATTTCCACCTTGGGCCTCAATTTTCTCATCCTGGGGCATTTTTTTTCAAGAAATAACTCAGCTCTGATATTTGCTTTAGCATAATGGTGAGTTCAAATCTCCACTCTATCACTAAGGCAGATAATTTAAATTGTTTGTGTCTTAGTTTTCTCATCTGGAAAATGGGGATAGCAATACTAACTTAATTCATAGGGTTCTTATGATTAACTGGGAAAATAATTTGAAGGGCTTAGGAGAATGCCTGGTCCGTGAAAAGCATTCAACATGTGTTAGCTATTAGTATATTCTCCATAGGTATGGAGACAAAACACTTGAGCTCTTCTGCAACAGAAGTGGATGCTCAAAGTTCAGCTAACTGGCTATTTAAAAACAGTAGCTTAGGAATTGATTTTTGGCTAGCAAACAAAAATCATTCTCAGCTTATGGTTAGCCTACCAAATAACCCATAGCTCAATATAATATAAAGGGAACCTCATAACCAAAAATCATATATTAAAGATCATTGTCAAAAAATGACAAATAGATATTATAATTTGGAAGGATTTTTTGCAACTATTTTGAACAATTTTAAGTTCTAAGTGTATTTCTAAGTCTATCTTACTTAAATCAGTGGTAAGGCAATTTTGAAAGTTAAGGCAATGCCTGATATTTTTTTACATTACTTGGCTGGAAATTTCTGCCAACTTTAACATCAGCTTTTCCCCATGCCTACAATTTATGTTTCCAAGAAAATATGTTGGAAAAACAATTTTTAAGAAATTATATGGAAGGTGAGTTTTATAACCTCTAGATTCATGCTCCTGATTTTTCCCTTTGGTGTCTATAATAGAAGATGGTTAAATGCTTATCTTTGAAAATGTGATGAAAATACATAGAAACGAGCATCACTTCCACATCTAATCAAAAGAGTAACAGAAAAATGTCATTCACCGTAATTATACCAGGCTACATGCCAGCATATCTAGAAATGCCCCATCTTCAGAGCTGGCAATCTGCATTTTAAGTGCCCCAGACAATACTAAATCAAGACTGGCTTTGCCAGTGTTGTCCATGCCAGTGTGTATTCAGAAGAAAATCTAATCTGTATGTGTCTCATTCATTTATAAATCATCAAATATTTATTTAACATAGTTGGTGGATCACCAAGGAACATCTAAGTTGTTTTATGATTCCTCTAACCAGCCACTACCCCAAAACAGAAAGATGTATTTTGCCTTCCATAAACAAAACAGAACATTAAATTTTTGAATCAGAGTTAGAAACTGCCAGCTCAGTCAGCTCCGAGTGGTGTTCGGTTTTGAGGTCCCAGGCTTTCCTTGCTCCTGCTGACAGGAGGAGGAATACAAAGTCAAAATACAACAACATCGACAGTGTCTGCCTTGACTCTCTACCAGGGGAGCTGGGCATGGCTGTCCTGGAAGAACAAATAGGGCAAACAGTCTGTTCTCTCTGCCCCTGGATGTTGGATTTGGCAAGAGGGCAGAAGCAGGAGCTACAGGAAGATGAACAGGGATCCAGTGAACAGCTGCCTAGTTAGGATGCTGACTGTGGGTTCCCGATGGATAATCTGGGCTTAGATAAGCAGAAGAGGTGTCAGGTGGTAACCAAGTCAGAATGTGCCTCCTGCATTTTCTAAATGCCCGAGGCAGCTCAGGAAGCAAAGGGATGCTGCCAAAAACAGCACCTTTCTCCTTGTCAATACAATCACAAACATGAAATGCAGCTGAGTAACTGGTTGCAAATGGGAGATGGTGCTCTGCTGGGTATATGAGATGGGGCACAAAACAACTCCCC